TGCTTTTTGTTTTTATGAATATCTCAAAAACAAAAAATCTGAAGAAACCCACTTTTTCCTAGAACAGCCCCCATATAATAATAATTGTCTTTTTCACCAGGGCCCCTGCCTGCATCAATACCAATCACTTCTTTTTTAGGTAATTTTTCCAAAACTTTACTTTTTCGGAAACCAATTAAATACTCAAATTTAAAGGTACATATTCATTCTAAATTTTCATTCGGTTTAGTAACTCCAGTATCAATTTTATGTCTTTTCTTACCAAAAAATCATTAAAAGTTCTCTTGATTTTTATAATTTGTTTTACTTTTAGAAACACAACCCATTATAAAGATATGATAAAGTTGGGTTAAATTACAAATTTATTTTATTTAATTATATTTTCAATTATTTAAAACTATTTAAAAATTTTAAAGAATTTGAGGAGTGTTTAATTGAAAATCGTGTTTCCAAAAATATTATCATGTGATTTTACCAGCAAAACCAGAATGATTAAAAAGTAAAATTGTCCATTTTTATGGGGGGAATTTATGCGTTGTATTAATTAGTAAAATGTCAAAAATAAAGAGAGTCCTAAATATTAATATATGCATATGAGAAAAAGGCATCTTAATATTTAAAGTTTTTTGAGTAACAATCCCTGCAAGATATGTTACACGTATGATTTGATATATAAATTAACAGTGACTGATTTTTTCACCAGTTATAATCCTTATATATTATGCAAAAACTCAATTTTGATCAGAGTACTTAAGGTACCTTTTGCTAAAGAATCCCCATATATGTGTATAAAATACCTCAACTTTGAGACTCAATAACTCATGATAAACCAGTAGAAATGGAGCTTAGGCCTTTAACTTTAGTTCTATCAGTTTACTGTTTTCATTATCATAAAATTCTTATTGGAATTCAAAGATTGTTGATTTAATGCCATCTTAGATTATGTGCACCATATCAACCTTAAATTTTGATTGTCTAGTCACACCACAGGCCTTCTTTCTCTTCAGAGAAGGGACTATTAAAACTATTATTAGAAATATTGAAAGAAAACCTGTCACTAGTTATGATGAAGAAAGTAAAAAAAGGCTTGATGATCAAATAAAATCCATGTATGAATGTGAGACTCATAATAATGAATGGGTATTGTATATGAGGAAATCACAAAGATTTATCAAAAAAATGAACAAACCTGTTGGTGAAATCCTTGAGGAAGGGATATTAACATTAGATTATGAATCTTATTATATTCAAAGCTACTAGTAAAAAAATACAGGAGTCATAATGAGAGATCAGAGAAAGATCCATGTATTTATATATTTTTCAGC